CGCAAAACTCAAAGAATTTGATGGAGAGCATTTTGGTGGTCAGATTATCTAACAACTGCAGAGACAGATGTAAAACAGGATGTGTCAGATGTGAACAAAGAGACTCACATGTGTAGAGTTCCAACTAACTACTTTATTGTTCTCTGACAATAATACAAAAATATGCCCATACTGGCACCTTTTGCTTGGAAAAGATTATATAACTCTCAAAGTCGTGTGGGGTGTTGTTGTTGTCAGACTTTGCCCACTGGTGCTTATGTGGTGAGTCCAGGCTAATTCACTACTTGAGCCCTCTTCCCATCTGGGATGCTTGCTATCCCATGGGTACAAACCATAAGTGCTCTTTTGTAAATATTCATTATATCATGATTAGGAAACGTGGTTCTCTAGATTTTTGGATGAAGTTTGGAAAGGTTCCTTTTCCAAATATTTTGTCTATTTTAGTGCTTTTACTTCAATTTTTTTGGAAGCAATCATGCAATTTGTTAGCAGTTGTGACTCTAAGGACTCAGAAATGGGGGTTGCTACACAGCAGCTGCAAATTGTTCATCCCTGGGCTAAATGCATCAATTAAAATAGGAGTAGGGAAAGCACACAGAGCAGTGTTTGTCAACCTTAGCAATTCCCCATGCTGGCTGGGAAATTCTGAGAGTTGAAGTGTGTATTTCTTAAAGTTGTCAAGATTGAGAAGCACTGACATGACCTTTGGATTTGTTCTCAACTCTTTGGCCATAAAGAAGCATCTGTGTGAACCTACAACTTTGATGAAATAATATGTCACACTTTTGTCAGTGCTTAGGTTCCTTTTGTCTTTTGTCTATGTTTGTGTCTACTAGATAAATATTCTTTGCTCTGGATCATACGACCAGGAGGGAGGACAGCTTCGAATGGAGGAATTGGCAGTGTTCTATGTGTATTGGCTTTTTCTGGATTTTTCCCCCTAATCAGATCCTAGCGGGAGACCATCTGTTTTTTAATTTGTTTTTTCTTTTGAGAGCTGCTCTTACACACATTGAATTCTGAATCCTAACACATAAGGACCCATTCTTCTCAGTTTCCAGAGATTTATCATGCAGGCAAGCAGACTGACAGAACCTGGAGTCTCTGTATAAAATTACTTTCCAGCATACATTTTCAACATTGGGTTGGAAAGAATTAAAAATATCACACATTTTTTATCAAAATAGCTGTCAAGAGGTACAAATATATTATCCTACTGTAACATAAATAGCCTAGAATTTTGATGATGTAAGATTTTCTGTTATGGTAACAGAATACCTTTATATATGCACTTAATTTTCCTAAAAGGTTTTTTGAACAGCTAGTAAAACTGTTCTGTTACAGTTACAGTGATTAACTATTTTAGAAAGTTGCTTTGCTTTATTATAATCTTTTTTTAAACCAATTTTATTTGGGCTATTTTTCCCCTATATTATTTGTATGGCTTACTTTTAAACAGCCTCCAAAACACATTGGTATGGTTTGCACATTGCACTAAGCCATGATTTTAACTCATGCCCAGTTTCACATATGCTAGACCTAAAACATAATGATCTACAATGACACTTAAAAGGATGAGTGAAGCTACTCCTACAATAGAGGGGAATAGAGTTTCAAAATATTAATAAACTTAATATGGAGAAATAAACTTTTTATGATACAGAATGCCATATGGGCTTTCAGATGTTGCTGTCAGATTCCACCAATATTGCTTAATTTTTGTGTGTGCGCACACACACACACACTTATACACATAATATACATCTATTTTTGGGGAAAAATCAGCACTCCCTTTACTGGTGGTAAAGGGACACTGGCTAAATTAAGTTATTATATGCTTTTTAAAAATCATAAGTAGTAGATAGTTTATTGCTTTTCTATTGTATATTCTGAAAAGATTGCAGAGAATAAATGGTCACAGCAGGTCAAAATCCATGCTTTCAAGGAATAAGTTGAAGGAAAGGAGTTTTCAATTGTTCAGTACCACTAGGCATTTTCATACATATTTTAAGTACGTGTATATGAAAACTGTATCTGTATGTTAAATGGAAGAAAATATTGTTCAGAAGTACACTTTATCCAAGTTACAAGTGACATTTGGATAATGTGTAAATCTCAGATCAATCTAGATTGGAGAAAATAAAGCCTTAAATTGAAAAAATTGAAAAAAAGCCTTGTTATTTGCAAAAACAATAAAGTAAGTAAGTAAGTAAGTAAGTAAGTAAGTACAAGTAAGTAAGTAAACAAACAAACAAATAAATATCTATGAAATGGCATTGTGAGGGCGTTGGGGATTTGGGGACAGAATGCCTTCCAAATTATGGGATGCCAAGTTAGTTTTAATGAAAAATAATTTGGCAATGAACTAACCACAAGCCAAATGCCATGTTAACCATTTTTTATAGGTTGTTTGATCATTTTTCCCCAATGTCTAGGATGCAAATTAGTAAATGCTGAAGAGAAGTTATTTGGTCAAGAAACAGAATAAAGAACATTAAGTCCCAAGTACTAAATAAAGTATTTAATCTTACAAAAAATTACAAAATGCTCCATGTGCCAAAAGCAAACGGATGATGCTCAGAAAGAAAAACAGATGAAATATTTACCATTGCAATATCCATACGAATTCTACATATGAACTATTATGGAAAATGTATTCCATACTGAAACAAACATAGTGTATTAGCTAAGGCAAAAATGTTGGGTGGGCTGGGAGTGGTGGGGGAGACTCCAGTATAATGGGGGAAAGTAGCCCTTCCAAACCCCATCCCCATCCCAGAAAGAGATGAAAAGTGCACTTAACTGCCCATGCAACTGCATTCTGTACCAACTGTAGATGCTTTTGAATTCGAATTAAACCACTTTAGGTCCATACAATATACTGTATTCTAAATTCACAAAATGAATTTAGCTTGCATAAAGCACAAATTGCTGCCCATGGTTAATACCAAAGAAGCTTAACATGCTATATTAATATAGCAGACATGGCTTACCTGCTTAAATTAAATCTTCTAAGATTGTACTAACCACACTTTTCAAAAGAAGTTGTAAATGGCATTTTCATATTACAATGTGTGTCTAGAGCCAAGGTGGCGCAGTGGTTAAAAGCAGCACTGCAGGCTACTGCTAGANCAAGAGCCCCTTCAGTTTTCTTGGCAAGATTTGCCATTGCTTGCTTGCTAGAGCTGAGACAGAGGCGCTGCTAGTTGGTTTTGTGCCTAAAGCAGGACTAGAATTTCCCATCTTTTAGTTTCTAGCCTGATGCTTCATCAATCTGGCTCTCGTTGAGGCATATCAGAAGTAATTTCAACTTCTCAGAAATTAGAGGTATAGGAGTCCAGCCTGAATTATACTGCTTTTCAAACAGTATGCACTCTGTTAACGAACAAGGTATATGTACTAACTAGAAGACTAGACTAGACCTCCAAGGTCCTTCCCCACCCTATTTATTTTGTGGCTTATGTTCTAGTTCTCATTAGGTATTTTTCAGTTTTAAGGGTGAAACAAATCGCAGGTAGGTCTTAGCCAACTATGGGTGCAGGCTCAGAGCTGTGCAGATCAGAGGACCTGCAAATTATCCCCCATGCAGGAGAAATGGTGGCAGGCCCTAATACGTTTGAGTCATTTCTGCAGCTGTCAATGACAGCAATCATTTTAAGGTGTTTATTTTATCACAACGTGATGATAGATGCCAGAGAGCTCAAGTTGATGGCAAAAGGGTACATCACGATTTGAAAAGCATAATATCCTACTTATGAGTATTTTTTTTAAAATTTGAAACACTTCTACTAATTTAAACACTGGCAAGAAAGAGAGTTCTGCTTATTTTGTAAGCTTGGACTGAAAACACTGACAGAATCGTTATAAAATTATCCTATTATCTCATCCTGCAAGAGGAGGAAAGCTGGATGGACCCATCCATTTGAACTGCCTGGAATGAAAAGGATCTAAAAAGTTGCACAATGGCGCCATCTACTGTTTGTCAATTTCCTCGTAAGTTCCCTTTTCCCAATAGTGGCATTTTAACGATGTAGTTGTTTACTACTCTTTCAGGAAGAAAAAGCATCACCAACAATAATAAGATTACTAACATTACCTCTTTTTGGAGGTTGCATTTATTACATTAATTAATCACATTTACTCAGCAGTTTTATAGGGTTGTGTTTTTTTTGCTTGTTTTGTTCCTGGTAAAATCTCTTTAGTAGAGAAGTAGCAGTTACAGTATTCCTATTAAAATACTAGTTATAGTGTAAATATAAACATTTATATTGAATTTAAACATGGAAGCTCTATACTATCTGTCTGTCTGTTTGTCCGTCCATCCATCCATCCATCCATCCATCCATCCATCCATCCATCCATCCATCCTTGGAGTGAGGTTTGAATAGATTACCACCATGTTCTTCCAAAGGCAGTGTGTCCCACTGAAAAATCAATAATCTGTAGCAAAAAAACCTCATCTTTATCCTTTGAAATAGATCTCAAAATGATCACATCACTTAACTTTCCATTACATATATTTCCATATTTCATATGTTTTGGGAGACTACAATTATCTAGATCAGATACATCTTCTGAAGTGAACTATGAACATTCTGTCAATCTACTGACACATTATTTAAAAAAAATTTTTTAATCCTACCTTTATTATTTTTATGAATAACTTAACCCTGGGACATGGCTTGTATTGAGAGAGAATGATTAGCCCTTGGTTACCATTTTAAGCTTAAAATGAGACTAGAACTCACAGTCTCTTGGTTTCCAATTCTCTAATTATTAATCAGCACTTGCTCATAATTAGCTATTAATATTTTTTGCTGCACATACCACTCTAAAAACCAAATATTACATTTAATTAAATTATAGTTACATTTAAATAAGAAGCACAAGCACACTGCAGATATGTAGTGTAGTTCTGGTTTCGATTCTAAGAAGTAAATTCACCTTAGTCTAGGGTTCAAAGCATTGACATTTTAAAAGTGATATTTCTTTACACTCACCTACACTTAAAGTTGACCGGGCAGCTTTCATCAAAAATCGGTCTAATTTATAATATACATTATAAACTTCCATCGAATGAGCTCGATCTTTAGCTTGACAGTTAACATCTTCATAATCCTTGCTTTCATTTCCGTACAATGTCAAGAATCCAGCTCTGCAGGGTTAGGAAGGGAAGGGATTAAAACAATTATTTAAAAATGCCATTATACAATACATTGTAAATATCACAGTTCCTAGGAATAGATAAAGTAAATCCCTAACATTTTGTACCATTTGTTTTGTATAGAGAAGATATCCCCCCCCCCTATTATAAATGTTTCATCCTCTATTCTTTGCTTCTCTGGTCTTTGCATCTTTCAGATGTGTTGGGATTACAACACAATGCTAAACAAACTCCTCTGTTGAAAATGTAATCAGCCACCCTATCAACTAAGTGAAAGTCTCCCTTTCCTCTCTCTCCATTCGAGTACAGCTCCTTGAAACTACAGCAGGGGCACCCAATCCCTGAGCTGCTAACTGGTACTACTCCGTAGCCTGTTAGGAACCAGCCAGCACAGCTGGAAGTGAGCAGTAGGCATGCGAATCTGTGCATGCACTGGATGTACCTTATTTTTAAGAGTATAAGACGCACCTTTTTCCCTCAAAAAAGAGGCTGAAAATCTGAGTGTGTCTTATACAGAATACAGCATTTTTGCCTCCTAAATCACCGCCCCTTCACCAAAATGGCAGTGCATAGCTTTTAGAAAGCTTTCAGAGAGCTCCTGGGTGGGGTGGGGAGGGCAGAAAAGAACGAAAAACAGCCTGTTTTTTGGCCCTCCAGCCCCCAGCAGCATTCTATAAGCTTCCTAAAGGCTATCCATTTTTGAGGATCGACGGAAGGACGAGACTGGAGCCAGGACTGTCAGAACAAGCAGTTTATTCTGCTTGGTGGCGCAGTGGTTAAAATGCAGCACTGCAGGCTANTCTAACCCCACCCGAATTGTGTGACTGCTGTGCTCTCTTTTTTAATATGTTGTATTGTCTCCATATTGGAATATTGTTTGTCTCCCCCCCCCCTTTTTGAACTGTGAGCTGCCCTGAGTCCCCCCAGGGAAAAGGGCGGCATACAAATAAAGGGAAAACTAAAAACTAAAACTAAAGGAATGTTATTTTGACTATATCTACCCCACTCCATATAATTCCCCCCCACCCACCAGTTTCCCACAGCAATAAATGTGGCAGGCCTGAAGGCCCAATGCAAAAGATGGCTTCCAGGCCTGACAAGCGTGAGACCTCCAATGGAATAGGGATCTGGCCAGGGCTATTCAGGGCTGTTGTGGGGAGATGTTGAGACCTATTTGTCCAGACTGAGGGGTCCTACCTCCTCAATTATTATGCTGCTACTCTATCCTAAACATTGGAAAAAGAGAAGAGAGGGAAGAAGGAGAGGAGAAGAGAGAGAAACATTGTGTGTGGAGGGAACAGAGTGGCTTTATCGTCCTTGAAATATATAACAATCCACGGAGAAGAAGAAAAAATAGTTTTACAAGTATGGGTGAAACCAACATCATTGTTTTCATAAGGTTGCCAGCTGCTTTTTTGACCAAGAATGAAAAGAATGAAGCAATCACAATTCAATGTTTTCCTAGGTTTTAGTTTTCAGATTTGTTGAATAAATTCAATTCAGTGCATTTCTTAATAGAAACATGTTTCTATTTAGCCCAAAAGATCACATAGAGATCAGTCGTCAACCAACAATTTAACTGATATAAACTATGGACTATCAACTGTTTAAGTAATATAAACTTAGGCTGTTTGATTCTAAAAATAGAGAAAGTTATTTTGGCCGCGCTGCCATTCTGCCTTCCTCTAAATTTCAGCCAAGAGAGTAATAAATTACAAAAGGTGTTTTCTAGTTCCACAAGGACAGAAAGAAAGAACGGCTTTCAAAGTTTACAAGACGGAATTTTAGTTCAATATTTGCTAAAGACACCTACAAAGTACATTTTTATAGTCTGATCTCAGTGGGGCAATAACCATCCCTCCTTCATCAAATATACAGCCTTCCTCCGAAAAAGAAGTTTAGATCATTTTTACTTATTTGTTTGTTGTTTATTTATTTATTAAATGTATGTGCCATCTCTCTCACTGTCAACATTGATGTTTAATTTTAAAACTATTTTTAAAATTACATTTAAATAATTTTCCAGTAGATAGATAGATAGATGATAGATGATAGATGATAGATGATAGATGNGTTTTTTTTTCTAAAGGGTTAGGGGTGCAAGGGTCTTGTAACTTGACAATTTTAAGACTTGTGTCCTTCAAATGCCAGAGTTTCTGAGCCAACATTTTGGTTGCTAAGCAAGAGCGTTGTTAAGCGAATTTCACCCCATTTTACAAGTCGACCACGCCCACCCAGTCACATGACTGCCAAGCCACTCCCACTTGGTCACATGGCTGGCAAGCCACTCCCATCCGGTCACATGGCTGGCAAGTCACTCCCACCCAGTCACATGGCTGGCAAGCCACTCCCACAAAGCAGGTCACACCTACAGAAGAGGTTCTAAAAAATTTTGAAACCCACCACCTGGTCTACCTGTATAAGGACTCCAGGCAACTTACAATATTTTCAAGGTAGCATTCAATGAATGCCTATCAACATTGTGTCCTGCAGGAGAGAACTTTGGCACCCTGGAGAATGTAAGTCCTATAAATACTCACTGTGAAAATATCACCATGCTTCTCTTTCATCTCAGACAGGAACTTGGCAGCATCTTTACCAAATGCCAGTGCATGCCCAAGCCAAGGAATGTGACCTCTATCAAGTGGAGGTTCATCAGGCCGCCTGAAAACCATAGCAAGATAGATAAACAATTAACCATGTTACTATTTAATCATTCCCCAAGGTCTCTATAAAATACTTTTCCCTGAAGTCTTAGATAAGGTTAAATAATACAAAAGCCGGAAGCTACCATGGGGCAGCTCTAGCGACAATTGAAAGTGCGGGTGTGGCGTATGGGTTTTACTGCTGTGGCATAGCTACTCTTCTGCTAGCATTGTCAGGGTTCCAAGTAACACCCCCAACGAAAGAAGATTCCGAGCCTTGAGATTCTTCAAAGTTCCATTTTATTAGAGATATCATATTGGTGCATCTGGGAAAACCCGAATCGGAAAGCTTCCAGGTTTTCTCCATCCACATGAAAGTTTAAGTCCTTGCCCAGCACCCACATGTCCAATCAAGCACCATCCCAACTGGAGATGCCTCCCAGTCCTGCCACTCCATATGCAGGGCAAGATGTCCTTGACTCTCTGAGAAAGTCCTGTCCCCCCTTCTTTTTAACATCTACATGAGACCGCTGGGTGAGATCATTCGACGGCACGGGATAAAATACCANATTGATGATACTAATAATGGGGGGGAGGGAAACATGGAATTGGAAACTATTAGAGAATGTTATCAATGCTAAAATGATTGAATGACTTAGAATAGGAGGAAGCATAATAATAATGTATTATACAAAGATATCTTGATTGTCAATATGTGAATTTTGATAAAATTCAAGTGAGGACTATGGAAATGACACAGAAACACTTTGTAACCAATCGACACACTGTGTGTAATTGAAGAGGCTTTCATGTTATATGTGTTGTGTGTTTGTGTTTGTCTGAAAATAAAAATTATACGACAAAAAAAAGAATAACCGATGAACACGATGGCACAACATGGTTACATTTATACTAATCTGCAGGTGTTACTTGAAGTTTTTCCCAAGCGCTGGAGACCCAATTGCCAGGTGCTGATACTAGTTCTGGACGAAACACTGCATAGCATTCTGTGTTGTTTCTACAGCAGCATGCCATGAATGGGAAGAAAATCATGTTGACGTAAGATGCTCTCAGTGCCATTCTTGAAATAATAGTTCTAGAGAAATCCTTGGATTGAATTTCAATCCATCATCACAGCTGCTCAATGGAGAAAGTCAGATTGCGAAATGAGGAGAGGCAGGGCCATTGAGAGTTCATTGCTTCATCACATTTTGGTGATACTATCTTGGATTAATAAATCAAAAATACGCCAGCTGCTCCCTGTGTTTCTCCCGTAATATCCCAAGGGACCAGGTACAGTGGTTATTTTGGCATATTCAGGGAGCAGGAAACTTCCTCAAGCTTTCAAAAGGAACAGGCATGGGAAAGCCGTGCTCCCTGACATTAATTCATCTGGACTTCCAATCTAACATCCTTAGTGACCCATAATACTGAAATCCTTCCAATCAGAAAACAAATAGAAAATAATATTTGTAGCTCAGGATTAAATGGTCTATTAATGGATATTAATATATTTAGATTACATAAATTATTTATATGGATATATAATTATATCCAGGATTCATGATCATGTTTATCCAGCATTCTCATGTAAATAAGCAAACTATTATAAGCAAATAAGAGAGATCTACCACCTATCCACAAAATCATTAATATTCTGTTTCCCTTAATGAATTAGCAGGATACTGAAAGCTTTGAAATGACAAATGTAATCCATTACTAGGTGACATCATCAGCTATCATCAGGGTTTTGTGAGTATGGAGGGGAGTTTGAGCAAACCTCTCCTTACTAGCACTGATGATGTTACCTAGTTTGGTAATGAAACATCTGCAAGAAAACAAGCAAGCTCAGAGAACACCAAGAATCCTACATTAAGAAAACTCTTACAAACTATTATCAGAAGGGGCCAGATGTCATAAAGTCTTTTTCACCCATATAAATAAACTATAGTAGTAAGTGCTTTTCTCATGAGGAAATCCCTGCTTCATATTTCAGCTCTGCCATGCAGTCACAGAGTAACCTTAGCCCAGCACTCTTTCCCAGTTCCAGCCCTCTCCTTTCTATTGGCAATTCAAAGTCAGCAGCCCCTACCTAACAGAAAGACACACTGTTAGTTGCCTTTATGATTAGTTGTAAAACAGCTTTTGAAACAGGCTTGTTCTCTCTGGATCTGATTTATTAGTTTGTTTCTTTTTTATTATCCAGCACAATCAAACAACTCCTGATGTTATCTCACTCTGAGCTATTGAATGAACTTGTTTGGACCACGGCTTACTGAGAGCATGAAGCAAACTCCTTGTCCCGACAAAAACCCTTTCATTATTTTACTGTGAATTCTGCTCATTAGCATCCAACAAAGTCTTTCAAGGGGGGATTTACAGTCACAGACCTTATCTGGTTTGCAAAGCTGACAGGCCGATATCTGCAAAACTTGGCAAGGAGTCTCGGAGAGTCACGAACCAAATTAAGCAAACTAATTGTCTCCTGCAATTTCCACTCCCCTTTCGCTTGGGGGATGAATGGGAGGGACCATTCATCGTTCACCTGTGGCCTTTCTCCCAAGTCGACCTCTGTTCTTTAGCTGTTCCCGTTGTCTGGCAACTCTGTGCATGTGGAACAGGCTCCAGCTGTTTGTCTGCCTCACTAATATCCGATTCTGAAGGCAGCTGATAACTTGAATATGACTCTGGCTCCCTCTCTGCCTCTGATACAGAGCCCTCATCAGAGCCTTCCCCAGACTCCAGGACATGTTCCTCCCCAACTTCCTCACTGTCTGAATCTGCTGCCAGCTCTGTGGGCTGCTTGTGGACCGCAACAGAAGTCACCAAGAAGTTCATTTCAATCAAGGGTGTCAAACTGGTGGCCTACGAGCCAGATGTATCACCTGCCCACCCCAGCTCCGCAAAGGTAAACAAATGTCACAAAACATCACATAATGCAAATGAGTTTGACACCCATGATTTAATGTTAAAGAGCCAGAGAATTAGGACAAACCACAATACAATACAGAGTGAAAAGAGTCCAGATGATCCATTTAATCTACAACTCTGGATCCATGGTTGGTCTCTTCAGATGGGTGTCAGGGCTCCTGGAAGGAGGAGTGGGGATGGGGATACATCAAAGCTTCCTTCAAGACTGCTAGGGAATCCTCTCATGAAGAGGCAATAACAATCTGTGAGACCTGGTGGTTACCTCTACACCCATTCTTCACAACAGTGAAAATGGGCAGGGGTACAAAAGGTAAGTGGTAAATGAGAACCTAGTCAGCACTTATCCATTTCCTTGCCAGTCACAAACCAATGTGAGATAACAAGATAACATCGCAAGATGGTACCCCAATCACCACAAGGGTCTACCAAAGTAAGTGCTATCTTCATGCTCCTGCATGTTCTGAAACACTTTATCTGAATAAAATCTGAAGCAGAGCCCAGACCTATTATCAGAATTTAAAGGTGATGTTCTTTTTAAGTTTATTATCTCAAGATTTATAATGCCTTTGACTGGAAGGAGGAATGTAATGTGGAAGGTTTCATTTACTGTGTATAATTCCTTATCAAGGTTTTATTAACAAAGCTGGACAAAGCTGGTTTATGTATTCCAACACACATTATAGACTTGACTCTCAATTTTTCAATATTTAAAAGAAGATGCCAACTCATATGCTGAATTCCCTGAAATGAGTGTTCAGAATACTTAGTTCACAGAACATACCATGGCTTTCTTAGTTGCAAGCACATACCCTATAAAATTTACACTTACGGTCTTAGCATGGCCTTTTCCGCATTTGAATCATAATTCGGGAGTGTCACATCAAACATCCGTTTCATCAAAATACGTGCATATTGGCCAAAGTCCAGCTTGGCACATGATTCCCAAAGCACCACATCATAGGAAAGCGGATCCAATAAGACAGTTATGAATTTTCCTGCAACTTGAACCTTAAACAAACAATTATCGTTAGTCATGTAGAATTAATGTAACACATCAATGTAAAGAAAGCAATGAATTTTGAAAAATAGAAAGAGACATTTCATCATATCCTGCTTCCCACTCTAATCCCTATCCTGTTTCTCCAAAAATAAGACTTCCCCAGATAATAAGCCCAATCAGGCTTTTAAGTGCATGCACTAAAATAAGCCCTCCCCCCCAAAATAAGCCCTGCCCGGAAATATTGCAACACAGCAGCAATCATGAGGTGACCATGCTTGCCACCTCCTGCACCTCAAAAATAATAAGATCTCCCCCCCAAAAAATAAGACCAAGTGCTTATTCTGGAAGTCAAAAGAAAATAAGACTCTGTCTTATCTTAGGGGAAACACAGGTAAGAATCTAATGATTCCTATTAAACGGAAGACTGAATTGAGATCCTGCAGTTTATCCAAAGTCTTGCATGAAATGTTTCAATAGACTCGTAATCCAACATTTTGTTCAATAAAAAAAACAGACCTTGCTTGAAGGATGGAGAACTTGTGAACCCCTGAAATTAAAGAGTGGAGCTAGAACAAGATCTGGGAGGTATGCTAAATAGACTGCCTTGACTGTCCTGAGAATCAAGCATTGGTCTTTGTAGTGCCTGTGAGTTTGCATATCAGAGCATCTAACACATTATATTAAAAAGGAGATGAACCTGGAAGGCAACTTTAGAGGATATGTTTATACTAGGATACATTTTTAATTATTCTTGAATCTCAGTATTGAAACTCCCATATAAAGAAGACCCTTAGAATCGCTGTATGAACAATGATCAGAACAAATGATTGATTCATAATTCAAGAGATTTTGGAACTGAGTGAATAGGTCATGTCCCTTAATGGTATCAATTAAGCTGGCTGGGTGACTCTGAACCAGCCATTCTCCCTCAGCTCACTTCACCTCATAGGGTTGTTGGTAGGGGCAAAATAGGAGGAAAGAGTGTTATATGTTCACCACTTTAAGTTAATTATAAAAAAAATAATAAAGGACACTTCCCCCAAACTTGGATAGTAGGGATTACTATAGCAAGAAAAGAAAGAGAGAGAGTGGGAGGGAGGAAAAGAGACATAAAGACTCCATCACGTGAAACTCAATTCAAAATTAAATATTGGAATATTTAAATATTCCAAATTTCTACATGTTTGCATATGACTAAGTGCACAATTTCTGTGTTCCTAGTAAAACATTTAACTAACATTTTTGACACCGTATAATGTTCTAATTTAGGATTAACTTTGATTCCTAGAATTGGTGCCACTGCTAAAGAATGCTGAGAGCCGTTATTCAGGGACACCTGCAGGCTCAATTATTGCCCACCTCAGTTTTAATTGATTTTGCTTTTGCTCTGGCTTTAAGGAATGAATAGAAGTTTCATATCTTAGAGTTAAAGACGAAATGATGGAGATCTATTCAAAATCATCTCACTACATTCCATTGGGTCTCCTTTCTTCCATTTTATTTGAATCCTTATCTATTTAAAATAGTCACAAATTTTGTGGAACCCTGGTAGCTAATGCTAAATATTCTAAAGAATCCCAGCTCAAGTGTTCCATTCATTGTATTATCATTAATGCAATAATAATAATAATTATTAATTATAATCATTGTATGTATTCATTTCCTTGGTTGCACGGCAATCACATGTGTGATTCTTTGATCTCTTTTCCCAAGAATGCTAATGGGCATCCATAGAAAGAGAGCAAAGAAGGCAAAAAAACCAAACATGCCCCCTGCTCCAAATTCTGCTCAACATAATCTAAAAGGGGAGGGACTTGCAGTACATTATATATCATTCTGATATCATCGCAAGCACCTGCATATGGAAATAGGCTGACTATATTGTGCATTAGCTTTGGAAGATGATTGAAAAACTGTATTCTCTTCCACTGGAATTGTATTCTAAATTTTGGATAAACTGCCCTGGAATTTTTTTTTTTTTTTTGCAAGGAAGTCTAGAAATTATGCAAATGCATAAATAAATGGGTCATTTAAGGAACTCTTCTTTTTGAAAACTTTCCTTTCCTGCTTTCATCTGCCATTAAATAAGAACGTTTGACTACCTGAAATCAAAGCAACTTTCCTTTCGTAACAGACATCCTCTTTCAGTTAAGAACAGCAGGTCCTCCTTTAGAGATGATGATTTTTAAACTGTAATGGGACAGGATGTAGCCGTTCTTTTTTTTTTTTTTTTACCCTTCGGTCAATCTTTTGTGTTATCTTCCCTTTTCACCATTTGGTGGCAAAATGAGCAGTATTAGATTCCCATAAAATGCTAGNACAGGACCGTTTTTGGGAGATTCAGAGTGCAAAAACTTTTTTTAAAAAAATTTCCTCTTCAAAACCTTGCTGCGTTTTATACTCTGGTGTGTCTTATACTCCGAAAAACATGGTAGGTTGTGTGCTCCTCTTGGTCCGTGGAAAAATTATCTTGCACAAAATCAGTGTCAAAAAGATTGGGCGGTTAGAGGTAAAGGGAAGAAGTTAGAGGTAAGGTTTCTAAGCAGAGAAGTAGGGTTTCTGTGGAGTCTAATCTAGGTCGGCCGTTGGGACCAGAGGTTTTATCTTCCGAGCTTTCACACTCGTGCTGGAGCCCATTTTCAGGGAACTTCTCTCTAAGCCCTGAAGATGGACTCCAGCAAGAGTCTGAAAGCTCGGAAGACGAAAGCTCTGGTCCTGGTGACCAACCTAGATCAGATCCTGCAACATTATCCTGGGACACCTATGTTCACCTTCATTCGTAGGGTGTCCCAGCCAGGAGTGGGATTGGGGGCTTCGCTGCGTGATGACTCCTGGGAGGGGAGGGAGTGGGTTGGGGTCAGGCAGGAGTGGGATTTAGGGGTTCACCGAACTGCACAGAATCTTTGCTAGAGGATCATCTGAACCTGGGCAAACCCAGAGTAACCCACCCCTGATCTTATCGCAGGGTAACTTTACCAGAGGATAACTTTAAAAACTATAAAGCATCAGTTAAAACATAAAACATTAAAACAACAAAAGCGATCTATGTTAATGTGCCACAGCATGCCCATAGAAAAACAAACAATATGATAAGGTACCCAGAAACGTGGAATGATCTTGGATCTATTTAGATGTCTTCAGGAAGACACGATAGTAATTTTCAAGGGTCTCAAAGGATGCCAGGCAGAAATGTTCAGAAAAGAGGATAAGAATAATAGATTTAAATTGCAGAGAAGTGGGTCTCAACTGGAAAGCATTTTCCTAATCATAAAAAAATGTTCAACAGTGGAACAGAAAGTCTCAGGAGATAATGGACGCTCCTTAGCTGGAGATCTTAAAGATTGGCCAGAGGCCAACTGTGAGACATAGTGTAATAATGAATTTCTATACTGGACTAGATGATCTCCATGCTCCCTTCTAGTCCTTATATACAAGACCGCAGTACTTGGAAGACATTTAGGAAATTAATCAGAAAGAGAAGAATAATTTCCTCTCATTCTAAAAGTCATAAATTAGTAGTTTACAATGAACTTGTCTTAGTAATGTACAATGAACTCTACAGTACATTTTTGGACAAGAAATTGGATTGTGTATGGAAACTGGATCCTACATTCTGAAATGTGATCATGGCTGTTCTTTGATCTCCTACGTGCCTAAAATGTTCAGTTGAAATTTGTATGTTGCTTTTTCGTGACATTTCCTGGGCATGTTGCAGAAAGTTCATTCATATGCAGCCATTCAATAAACATTTTTATCAACATTCTGCAGCTTGGTAGCTCCATTGTGCGAGAGGAGATAGCTGAAATCTTGAATATAAGAAAGAGAATTCGGCTTCCATTTCTTTGTTTAATGAAAAGGTGCAGAACCCTTTCCAGATACCAGGAGACCCAAATAAGCTCATTGGAACTACTTACCTTGTTCTGCTTTTGTTAGTTTCTTTGTTTTTATACTTTGATCCTGTACAGACATTGAGACAGCAAGCAAAGCAAGTGGGAGCTGGGCCACATTTCCTTTTCTTCTGGCACTACTCTGTTGTTTAACGCAGAGAGGAGAACAGGAACAGGTAGTCCTCGACTTACGACCACAATTGAACCCAACATTTCTGTTGCTAAACTTAAGTCGTCAAGTGAATTTTGCCCCATTTTATGAACTTTCTTGCCACAGTTGTTAGCAATAGCAGTAGCACTAAAGACTTATATACCGCTTCTACAGTGCTTTTACAGCCCTCTCTAAGCAGTTTACATAGCCAGCCTATTGCCCCCAACAATCTGGGTCCTCATTTTACCCACCTCAGAAGGATGGAAGGCTGAGTCAACTTTTGAACCTGGTGAGATTTGAAGTGCCAAATTGCTGGTAATCGGCAGTCAGCAGAAGTAGCCTGCAGTACTGCACTCTAACCACTACGCCACCACAGTTTAGGTTTAGGTTTATTAGATTTATATGCTGCCCTACTCCCAAGGACTCAGGGTGGGATACAACATTAAAAGAAACACATAATACAAAAGTTAAAAAAAATTAAATAGAATATCCCAAACAAACCCAATTAGAATTAACAACATTTTTTAAAAAAATTCAAATTAAAACTAACAATGATCAATAATTTATTTTGTTTTGTTCAGGCCAGGCTGGCTTGCTAAGCCAACTTTTTAGGGCACGTCGGAAGGACCGGAGGTCAGGGATTATACAAAGCTCCAGAGGCAGCTCATTCCAGAGGGAAGGCGCTCCCAC